TTTGGAGAGTCCTCATGAAACAAGAAGTCTTCTTCATGTATATCTCTTAATTAGGTCAAAAGATCATACATCCATAGAGTCCCTGAAGTTGTGAACCTCTTTATGACTTGAGTACACGAGGGTGGCGCGCACTTGAGAGTGCCGCGCACTTGGGGGTGCCGCGCACTTGGGGGTGCCGCACACTTGGGGGTGCCGCGCACTTGGGGGTGCTGCGCACTTGGGAATGCCGCGCGCTTGGGAGTGTCGCGCACTTGGGGGTAGCATAATGATATTGTGGGGTTAGACAAAGTACCCAACTGCCTAACTGCCAAGGTGCTTAGTTGGTTCTCTCCATACAAATGTGATGACCGAATCACGACCGGCCTTTCATGAACCGCTACTGACGACCACATCAATTCCTAAGTGAAAAAGAAACAAACTAAACTGAATCATTTTACTTGATACCCAAGTGTCGGTAACCGATTCGATGTCGATTCGAGATTGATAGTACTCGACGGATAATACGGTTCAACCGAGCCAAACAAAAACTAACTCAAGTGTCATTCCTATGCGGTCAAAATTGATCCATACGAACCCAAAATCACATAACTTAACCGAATCTTTGGACTCCATTAAACCATTGGCCTGATTTAGACCAAATTATGTGAAGGACGTGATATTATGGAAAGAGGCAAAATTTTGCTGTTATTCATATGAACACAAGAACCTACGTTTGTTTGTTTGTTGCCATAAAAGGAGGATTAATAGTATTTTCAGTTCCTTTCATCGGTGACTCGAATATATAATCTATCAGTCATATGTAAAACATTTTACCACTTAAACTGCGCTTCGTTGTCACGTAAGAACATAAGTTAGTGAAGCTGATCTGAACGGCATGTTGGAATTTGCACCGGTGAATGATAGCGAGCTAGTTATAGGTGGACTATTATCTCACTTTTTTTTTTAATTTCGATAAAAATAAAAGATTTCGTCTTTGCGAAAAATCGTGAGTTAGTTGTTTGTGTTTTTTTCTCTTTCATTTGTGTACAAACCGAAAAAGAAGTACTATCGAATCGATTTTTGGTTATGTGCGGTAACAAATAATATTTTGAGCAACCATAAGTTCCAAAAATTGATGTGGTGCTTGGATATAAATATTGATTTGATAAATTTAATCATAACTGAAATTTAACTTAACTCAACTCTCATCAATATTATTAATATAATTAAATAATAACAATCAATCATCACGTCATATCAATTTAATTCAACACTCATCAACTCATATAATTTTAGTTGTTTATCACTCTCGAGCACATCTCTCTTACTTTCCATCAAATTAACTTTAAGTATTTATTTTAAATTTTATTTGTATGAAAACACAAATTCCCACTTAAATCTAATTAACCAACTTTTTCAACTTGATTGTGTTAAAAAAAAAAGACACACTTAAGATTTATATCAAGCACCACATGAACAATTTGGTTCGGTTTATATAATAAGAGCATTCACAATACTTTGGGTTTAATCACAAAAAAGTGTACGTCACCTAAAAAATAGGCATAGTCTAAAAAACTGTTTCTCTTAGAGCATCCACAATGCTTTGGGTTCAATCACAAAAAAAATATATGTCACATAAGAAATAGGCATAGTCTAAAAAAATGTATTCTCCAATGCAAAAATAAAAGTAGATTGGGTCTTGCTGATGTGGCAGCCAGAAAAAGAGACTCAGTCTACCTTTAAGTCTATTTTAGACCTAAGTAGAGACCCCGTCTCTTTACATTGGAGTGGACTTTATTAAAATTATATAGTTTTATCCATATCATCAAATACTTGAGTTTATTTGCATGTCATATAGGCAAGACTAGACCTAATGCATTGTAAATGCTCTAATGCAAACAAAAGCAGACTGTGTTCTGCTAATATGGCAGCCAAAAAAAGAGACTCGATCTACCCTTAAGTCTATTTTAGACCCAAATAAAGACTTAGTTCTTTTGCATTGGATTGGATTTTATCTAGTTTACATAGTTTTATCCATGTCAACCAAAACTTGAATTTATTTACATACCGTATAAGCAAAACTACACTCAATGCATTGTAGATGCTCTAATGGTTCTGTTTCACTAACCCATCCCTAATCATTAATACTCCCTCCTCTTCAAAATAAGTGTCATTTTGAGAAATTGCATAGTTATTAAAAATATTTTTTTGTCAATAATAACCCTCATTAATGAGAATAGAGATAAATGTTTTGAAAAAAGATGAAGAGTGAATATGAAAAAACGTAGTGTATTTTTAACTAAATGAGGGTAATAATGAAAAAATATGTACAAAATATCCAAAACGACATTTATTTTATTAATAGTTGATAATGCTAAAATGACATTTAAAAAGAATAGGAGGTAGTAAAAGATAGTACTACATTTTATTTAATATTATTGTAAAAAAGATATTTAATTTAATATTATTGTTTATATATATATATATATAT